AACTCACACCTCACTAGACAGGGAGCCCCGCTGAGTGGCGAAACCCACCCACAAGAACCCAGGTGAAGGCCGCTGTGCCCCACCCCCTTCTTTCTCCTGTAAGGGAGAGCCAGAAGAGGGTGCTCAGCTTGCAAAGATGCAGATCCAGGACAGGAGGATGGAGAGGGAGTCTTTGGGGAGGGGTAAGAACAGGTGCAGCAAAGACGTGCGGGTGCCTCAGGGGTCCACAGCCCAGGACACTGCATGGGACGAGTTCCAAGGTGCCCGACACAGCTGTGGGCACGAGGCTGGGCCTAGCCCTTAGGCTGTAGGCTTGGAAGGCAGGACAGAGTCCCCCGGCCTCCCATCTAGGACTCTTCCCCGCTTCCCGAACTCCCCTAGCAGATGCCTCCTGTAGCCTCCACTCTTTCTGGAGACCCATCCTCACCCTGGGCCTGCACTGAAGCAGGGGAAGCTGCTCCCAGTGAGGGCGTCATCTCCTGCCCTAGACAAGGCCTCCCACGAGGCACGTATCTGCAGTGGCCCAGGGTTGGCCTTGAGCTGTGCTCTCTGCCCTCGAGGAGCCTCATCTATTACTGGTGAGATGGGCCAGACGAGCTCTCCCACTCCGTGGCTCTCAGCGTCCACCCTGCATGGCTAGGACCTGCCCATTTCTTACCCTGTGGAAAGCCGTCTCCCAGGAGTCCCGAGGGCAGAGTGGTGAGCTGCAGGATCTTGCTCCTGGCCCCCTGCCCAGCCCATGGGGTCCACCTTTCAGACCTCCAGGGCCTGGCTTTGGCCTAGCCAGGCATCCAGAGATGCTCACATTTGCACAAAGTAATTGCTCACAGCATCTTTTAAAGAGAATACCACATCTGAGGTTTACAGCAACAGTAGAAGGAAAAACTAAGATCTCCCTATCCTCCACTAGCAATCAGGCCGCTGGTGGCGGAGGGCCCACATTTTGGATGCAAATCCTACAAAGGCCCCAGGTAGCTTTGGAGAAAACACCTTTGAAGGCGGTGGCAGGAGTGCCAACTTTCTAGTCCTCATCAAAAGGCTTTGTCTGTACCTATGAATCAAAAGTCAGAATAGGGGCTGGGGATGCAGCTCAGTGGTAAGAGAACTGGCCCAGCAAGCACAAGGCCCTGGGTTCCAACCCTAGCACCCCTACCCACCACCCACCAAAAAAGTCAGAACAGGCTGCACTGAATTACTAAACTTGAAACAAGTACTTTTGTTTGTTTGACGGGGGGAAGAAATTGTCATTTTGGTCTCATGCTGGCTATGTAATTAGCAAAACGCAATACATAAAAATAAAATGCTTATTGAAGGAAAAGAAAAAATGAAACAAAACTTTTCCCTTTTTTCCTAATATATATACATATTAGGTATATATATATATATATATATATATATATATATATATATATATATATACCCACTCTCACATAACCAGTGAGCCACATCCCAGTCCTTTTAAAAAATATTTTATTTAGAGACAGGGTCTTGCTAAGTTGCTTAGGCCCTCACTAAGTTGCTGAGCCTGGCTTTGAACTTGTGATCCTCCTGCCTGACATCTGTCTGGATCTGTCATGGTGCTTTCAAATTTGCTATCCATGTCTTGCTCTTTCTGGCACAGGGATGTTGATGGGGTTGGGAGTAGGGGTGGGTCACCCCTCATAGGTGCTCATGACTCCAGGACAGGAGAATGTAGACCAGCCTTGACCCTCCGAAGGTGCCCAGGTCCCTCCCTAGCAGGAGAAAAGGCAGGTGCAGGGAGGGGTCCAGGGGAAAGGGACTGAACCCAGGGAACCCATCAGGAGAGGCAGAAGCAGGACTTGACTTTCACAACATAAATTCAAGATAAAATTATCATCAAGAATTTCAAGATGGCTCCTGCAGACCATTAAGCCCCAAGCACAGAGCCACCTCATTTCTGGTGGTCAGTGTAACTGAATGTTAAGAGCCTGTCCCTTCCTGGTCCAACCAACCTGGGTTCGAGGTCTGGCCCACTGTTCGGCCAAGTTACCAATCTTGCCCTTTGTAAAAAGGCGAGTAACAGCATGAAGTTCAGGCTGATCTGAGAACGAGACGCCTGGCGGCCAGGCCCACCTCTCCCGTGGCCTTACTCTGCGCCCTACACGGCTCCAGGAGCTGGGCAGATACAAATCCAGTGTGCTCGAGTGACAATCCCGACAGGCTGGTACCTCCCCACCTCATCACCGACTGAGGGCGTGGAGAGGCCCGACCACACAGCAGGTCGGGGAAACAGCACGGCTCACTTTGAGTCCACTTTGCACAGTGGAAGATGGGGAGAGTGAGCCGTGGCTACTGTTTCCTTTCACTTCACCCCAAGGGGGACCCTGAGGCCAGGTGTCTACCCTTATTTTTGATCATTTTAGAGGGGAGGACACAGAGCCTTGGAGAGGCTCTGATACATGTCCTCCCACCCCCAGAAGAGCAGCCCCAGGAGCAGATGACCAGGGGCCAGGTTGCTTGCCAAGGTTCCTAGGTCCTAGCATCTAACAGTCAAAATTCCTGACAGGCTGCTGGATAACCACAGGGCAGTCCCTGGTACAACCCACATTCTTATAATAAAGCCCCTTTGCAATTTCTAGCTAGGGTGGTATTTTGGGTTGTAAAATTTAGAGGTGAAGAAAAAAAAATACTCCAAAATCAAAACCACTGGCTTTAAAATCAGACAGACCCAGATTTGAAAATGACTGTAGCACTTGCAGGCTGAATGACCTTAGGCAAATTACTTAATCTCTCTGAGCTTCAGTTTCTACACCAGTAAAATGGATCTAAAGTGAGACTGCTTAATAGTGCACTGAAATTTCTGGAACAGAGTAAGTAAAACAAAGTTAAAAAATCTGCCTGGTATAAAAGCTGGTGCATAGTAGGTGCTCACTAAAAGACAATTCTGAATCCATCAAAGGCCAAACCTACACAGATGTAAATTCTAGGAGCACTTATGAGCACTTACCAACATCTCTGTCTGAAACCCAAGGAGGGAAAATACAACCAAATTTGGGGAGGTCTGAAATAGGGTCACCATCCATCATGACCTCGGAAATAAGTCTGGGAAGTTCTGGTGATTGGAGGCAGGAAGGGGGAAGTTGGAGAGACTTCAGTGTGAAAGCACTTACATTTTCGGAGGGTTTTTTCCTTTATTCTATATAAGGTCTTGCTTATCACTTGGCAACACTCATTTGTGGTTCGTGTCCTTAGCAGGAAAACATTCATGCTGAACAGTAAGAATGGACCCTGGTTTGGAAAGTCCTCAAAGGTTTTCACGACTCGGGTCTCGGGTCCCAGGGGGTGAACGACTCAATTTGAATAATTGCGTTTTGAGGATTTCCAGGGGAAGCACCCAGGCAATCTTCTGACTGGGGATCTCATGACCCACAGATTCAAATACAGAGGATCAGTACATTTGGAAGATCCTCCTTGGGCAGCCCTGCATTAATTGAACAAATATTTATTAGTCTCCAACGTGTGCGGGGCACTCTGCGAACCAGGCAGGGTGTGGGCAAGGGGAAGTGGGCTTACACTCCTCCAGAAGAAGCTACAGAAAGAAGGCTGGGCGGGGCGTTGGCAACGGGTGCCAAAGATGGGCCACCTGGGACCGGCCATGACTGGGAGGCAAGGAAAGCCCCTGTAAGGCAGGCAGAGTCCAGGGTAGAACTGAAGGCAAGCAGCGCCGGGGGTGGGGGGGCCTGCTGTCACAAAGGGCCACAAACTGGGTGCCACAGAAAGGCATTCTCCTACCGCTCTGAAGGCCAGACACCTGGTGTCACAGTGTGAGCCAGGTCCTGGTCCCCCCAGATCCTAACGGGGAGGACTCTTCCTGCTGCCCTCCCTGGTGCTCCTTGGCCTGCAGACCCTTTACCCCCACCTCTGCCTCCATCTTCATGTCACCTTCTCTGTGGCCTTATAAGGATCCTACTTTTGGGGTTAGGGGCCACCGTAATCCCCTGAGACTTTGCCTGAATTTAGAAATACCTGCAAAGATCTTATTTCTAAGAGTAAGGCCACATTCACGGTCTGAAGCCTCTTTGGGAGGCGCAATTCTACATACTGAAGAGCAACACAGAGGGCGAACAGTCCGCAATAGCCAGGGCAGGGGATGGGACACTGGGACAGGAAGAAGCTGCAGGCCTGGAGGCCGGGGCAGGAATGGAAGACTGGGTCTCCACTGGGCCTCTGCTGGCAGCCGGCTCTGAATTCTGACTTCAGCTCTGAGTAATCGTGGGTCACTGTCACTGCAGACGGGAAGGACATCCTCTGGGGATGGGTAATGCCTCTGCTCTTTCTAGAACCCAGGCTATTTCTTCTTTTTCTCTGTCACATTTTGCTAGGAACCTCGGTCTCCTGGGTCCTCCAACTTCCCAAAGTAAACCTCCTCTTCCCGAGTCCCCCAGTCCCGTGGCGCACGAGCCCAGAGACCGTCAACAGTTTCCCGCAGCTCGGTCTCCACTCAGCAGCCACAGTGACCGCAAAATGCAAAGGCACCTGCCTCAGCCCTCCTGGGACACCTTCCCCATCTCACTTCAGCTCTTGGCCACACGGTGCCCTCCCCAGCCGGGCTCCCTGGCTGCTCCTTCTCACCCACGGTTTTGTGTTAGACTTAACCCAGGTGACCCTCACCTCCGTCCTCCCTGGACCACTCAGGGGAGCAGAGACCTCTCCCACCACATGCATCACCACATCCCAGAACCACGCCAAGGGGCCACTCCGAGGACGCACCCAGACGGTCTTCAAATAAACGCATATTTACATGACGAGGTAAAACATATTCACAAGATTTTTTAAGAAGGAGAGGAAAGGAGGAAGGGCCAGAGGGAGGACACTCGGAGGACTCTGCAGACTCTCCAGCTAATCCCTGGTCGGCCACCCCAGACGTCACTCCTGCTGCCAGCACCGTCCATCTGTGAGCCAAGCCACCAGGCTCAGGGGCTGAGGTAAAACTGGGAAGTCACCCAACAGTGAAGACGAAAATCAACAGAAGCCATTAGCAAAGTTTATTGTCAAAGAATATTAAATTTAAAAAAATATGCTCATGGAACAGTTTTAACTAAAAGAGCAAGTTGGGAAATAGCCTCTAAAATAAAATCTCCATATATATGTACACACACACACACAGAAAATGTACTAGGAAATTATATGTTAAAATGCAAGTTGGTTCTATTTTATTGGAGATTAATTTGGTTATTTTTATTTACTTAAATTTTCTCTAGTGACTCTACAATACTTTTGTAGTAAGGAAGAAAGTAACTGAAGTAACTGTCACTTTATTTATGCGTATGATAAGCCCTTGGTCAGCTGCCAGAGGAACAGTGACCCTGTGAAGGGACAGCCCAGGGGACAGGGACAGCTTCCAGAGCAGACAGGAGTGGACTAGGAGGTTCACGTGGGGCATTCTGTTGCCATTTGCCCACTGTGACCCTGGGCAGGCCTCTTGGAGTTAGAAGGTGCCACATGTTGCCTTGGGCCCTTGGGACACCCCTCCTGGCTGCCTTGAAGTGCCTCTGGAAGCGTCCCTCCTCAGAAGGAAGAGCACACAGTTCTGTGTCACCTGAGGAGGCACGGGTGCATGAACCGGTGTTACCATGTGCAGTGACCAGAGAGGGTCCAGGTGAGTGGCCAGCTGGGTGACGCTGGGTGAGTCACCTCATCGCAGGGCAGGAGCCATCTGTAGAAGGGTCATGGCGCCCTCACAGGAGGGGCAAAGGGCAAAGGTAGCTTTCAGACAATAACCCTCACAAATGCTAGCAAGCAATGATGCCACTTCATTCAGAGCAGAAACAGGCCAGGGCGCCAGTGCCCTCCCGGGGCCCTGGGGTCCTGGAGGCAGGAGGAACACAGTCCCAAGGACAGGCTCAGTTGGAGGCTGCCAGCTTGCTCTGTAGGGAAGGCTGCACCTGGGAGGGGTGCGGGCACAAGGCATTTTCCTACTGAGCACCTGCTATGTGCCAGGAGCCACATTATCTCAAACAGAAGATCCTGCCAGGCAGCCATCACCACACTCCTTCTTAAAAAGAGAGGAAAGTGAGTCAGCACAGAGTGTGAAGCAACTTGCTCCAGGTCACACAGCCTCTCTGTCTTCCTCTGAGTGCAGTGATCCACCCCGGGGTGGAGGGGCCACCACCAGAAGGCAGGCTTAGCCGCCATCCTGACCACCCAGTGGGGAGGGCACGAGGGTGATCTAAAAAGCCTGCTGTCCCCTGGCCACTGCCTTTCCATTCTCACCACCTCTGCTGATCACAGAGGCACCGTCCACCTGTCCAGCCCTGAGGTCAAGCATTGCCCCTGGTCTGGCATTGTTCTCTGTGATCCCCAAACCCAGGGCTTTTCCTAGGGATGGAAGGGGTCTTAGTCAGATCTTGGGTGTGACAGGGAACAGAGGCTTTGGATGGGCTTCCTGTGCATGCCCCCACCCAGACCCAAAGCCACATACCAGAATCCAGTCCTTGCTGGGGCAACAGCAGTTGGGGGGCAGCAGGGCTGGTCTAAGGTTCTTCCAGGGGGAAGAACCCTGGCATAGGGGTATAGTGTATGCACAAAAAGGAGCAAGACAGGCGACCCCAGAGGAAACTCGGGGAGCCTGGGTCCTGGATAAACTCAGGCAGGGCCTGCTAGGAACTCCTGCTCTATGGCCAGCCCACCTGCTAGTACCACTGGACATGGGGCTGGAGTGGCTGAGGGGCAGGCAGCGTGCTCACCACGGGGAACCCACCATCCATCCTCTCCAGAAACATTGACAAAGCATTCACCATGCTCCGGGCACAGTTCAAAGCCATCAACCAAGCCAAGAAACCAGGTGCTACATGTGGAAGTCCTGGTGGGCACGCCAAGCCCCTGCCAGCCCCCAGCTGGGCTCCTGCTCCTGTTTGGGGACCCACTAGCCTCGGGGAACTCGCCAGCCTTCGGTGGTCTCTGAAATGCTCCTCTGTTGTGTTGTAGGATTCTGAGAGCCTGTTGTTCTGTCCTGCCGGAAAAGAGAGAAAAAAGATCTGCAGACTGTGACGTGGCAGCAGGACAGAGCCCACTGCACTGCTCAGCTGGACGGGGGACAGGGAAGCCCTCAGGTGCAGACCTCAGGGTACTTGACACAAGATGTCCATTCCAGAAAGGTGTCCTTCACCAGCCCAGAATCCAAGGACCTGAGAGGCTCTCACCTGTGGCTGCCGATCATCAGAGAGTGTGACAACACGGAGCAAAGATCTTTGAATATCTCTCACCCAAGCTACAAATAAAGACCATTTATCATAAGATTGTCGAGTGGATACTAAGTTTTGGACACCTGATACATCATCTTACTTAATCTTCATGAGAAACCAGCGTGGGAGATGTCATGGTTACCATCTCACAGACTGGAGATCAAGCCCAGTGAGGCTGAGGTGTCCGAGATGGCGTGGTTTATTATGATGGAGGAGGGAGTGGGAAACCTGTATCCCGAGCTCATCCAGTGGATGCCCTCCTGCACCTCGTCAGTAGCCTTTATTTGAGGCTGTAAAGCAGGCTGTACCTGGTGGGCCACCTCCTGTGTGCGTCTCTGGCCCTGGACTTCTTGCAGGACATGCGGTCTGTCCCTAGTGAATGTGTCAGGAATGGACAGGTGAGTTAAGTTTCTTTTTACACAGAAACGAAAGTAACACCTCCATCCACATGAGAGCCAGGCCACCGCGCAGTCAGTTAAAGCTAACCCTAAATATCTTAGAGACGATATCGAAAATACACAACTGGGGCTCACCGCAGATTTCCGACTTTTAATGCCTGATACTACCTGGGAAAATGAAATCCATGATTATCCTTACACAGGAAAACCTTGACATTCAGAGCCGGAGTCCTTAAGTTTTGCTGCAAATGGCCCAACAGTATAGATTTTAAGCCAAAGGGGCCGCACATCTCTCTTCAACTATTTTATTCCACCACCGCAAGAGGAAGGCAACCACAGACGATGTGTAAAGGAATGGGCAGCGCTATGTTCCAATAAAACTTTATTTACAACACCAGGTGGGGGGCCATACAGAGTTTGTGAGTTCCTGATTTAGAACAGACATGGTAATATGACTGCTGTTCCATCTCCCTCATGCCAGGAGCCCCACAGGCTTTAATCTCCATTCTAAGAGAGGTGTTTGCTGAGTGCTCAGGCAGGCCAAGGAGTGTTCTAGGTTCTGGGGCGTCAGTGCTGAAAAAGACAGGACCCTGCTCTCCCCAAGAGTGTTAGTGGAGACCCTGCCAGCTCGGCTCCTCAGGACACCACTGTACTTTTCAGGTAAAGAAAAGAGGCGCAGGGAGGGGACATCCCAGATCTCATGAGGGCAGAGCTAAGGTGCCAGCTTGGATCTCAAGCCTCAGTTCTTCCCACCACCCTGTACCATCTCTCAAAGCAGAATCCAGACCTTCCACTCCAGCCCGGGCTGCACCCCCTCAGCTAGAGCTAATCTGTGGTCATGGGCACCTCTTTGCGGTCCCGTCCGAGTTCCAATCCCCAAAGCAAGACAAATGCACAGAGGAGACGCCCAATTCCAAATAAACGCAGGAGACGAATGCAGGAAATGCTCCTCTCTAAGGTAGCCCTGTCCCTGTGTGTGGGATGCAGACCTGACAGACTCTGAACCCTGGGAGTCCCTCAGACTGAGAATCCCAGGGCAGAAAGGGGCCCTGCTGAAGGACCGGTCTGTGCAGGGCCTGCTGGTCATCCTTGTTTGTAAGGTTCTATGTAAGCCCTGAAATAAGAGCCCTCTGTGAAAGGGACTTCTGTAGGGAGGGAGGAAGAGAGAGGAGCAGGCTCTTCCTGAGTTCCCTCTTGCTCTCCCAGGTACTCTGGGAGCATCCTGTCCTTGCATGGTGGGAAGGACACACTGCTGTTCCTGCTCCCCAGGCCAGGGACTGGGTATGTTTTATTTTTATAAAGGGCAGGCAACCTCTGCTCTGACTGTGCCATTCATTATCAAGTAAAAGCTCTGGATACACCGTCCATAGCTCATTCAGGCAATATGTGAATGGGGAACCAAGAGCCAGAGGCCACAAAGCCTCAGTGAACAGCACACCTTGAGCTTCTCTACAAGTACTAATAACAGCAGGTAAACAGGCTGAGGGTCATCGCAGGATCTCCAGTCCTTACAATCTTATGAAGCTATTGTGCATTGCGTTATCACGTGCTGTATTACTAACAGACTATTGGTATATTAGTTACATATCCATATGGTGTTCTCGGTTATCCTGATGAGAAACTGCACAGAGCAGTTGTTCTTCTCAGCCCTGAGTGCACAGTCAGGACGGTACCGTGGGCTGTCAACACTCCAGCCCTTTGTCTTCAACACGGTCACATCCTTTCATACACCCTGCCAGTGTCTGAGAAGCACCCGGAGAAAAAAGAGGTGGAGGAAAGAGAAGAGACAAAGGGAAAGCAAGTGTCCTGGAGGAATGCAGCTCTAGTATATTAATCTCCCCACACGAGAAGAAAATAAAGGGCATGGGGGGGGGCAGGGAGGAGTGGGGAATGAGGTGGTTGTGTGACGCGGGATTGCAAGATGATTCTGAATAAAGGTCATGAGTTTCCAGAGTGAGAAAGTCGGCTGGAGTCACTGTCCTCCTGGTCCCCGGGCAGGGGTGCAGCAGGCTGCTGAGGCGATGCTGGGCAACCTCCGCACCAGAAAAACAAGCTGGTGAATGCCTGCGGGAAGGGGAAGTCGGAGGAGTAAACAGGGGTGATGGAGCCCCAGGGACCCCAGGCTCCGCCCTGCCCTGCTGGGCAAAGGATCCTCTCAGTTAATATTCGCTGAGCACTGAGGTGTCCAGCACGTGTGCTCCGAGCTTCTTGGGCATCTGTTAAATCATCAAGAGAAAGTCAGTGGGTGGGTGGATAAGAGGAAGGACTTCTACTGTTCTCTGGCCACAGAGGGGAGGCCACGGTTGTCAACAATTAATTGCATATTTCCAAACAGCCAGTGGAGAGGATTTTCAGTGTTCCCAGAAGGAAGGAATGACAGCTTTGAGTGATGGATAAACCCGTCAGCCTGATCCTACAAAATTGAACATTGTGCGCAGGTCCTGAAAGACCACCTAAAAATGCACAATTACTGTGTATGCATGGGAGATTTTTTTATTATAATTATCAACACATTTCAATTGTACAAATTAATGTGTTTCACTGTGACATTTTCATGCACGCATATATCACAGTGGGATCATGTTCCCCCAACCCCATTACTTTCCCCTTCCCTACTAGATCCTCTCCCACTTTCAGGTTTTTTTGTTGTTGTTGTTTTATTTTGTTTCCACACATGAGAGAAAGTATGTGATAGATATAATGTGCGTATGCACTATATATATAATTGCGATATATAGATATGATTTTCTGTCATATCTGTCAGTGGGCACCTAGGTTGGTTCCATATCTTGGCTATTGTGAACAGTGCCACAGTAAACTTGGGAATGCAGAGATTTCCTTGTATCCTACTGCATTTCCTTCAGGTAAATATCCAGGGGTAGAATAGCTAGATCCTATGTTAATTGTATTCTCGTTGGTTTTTTTTCCATACTGTTTTCCGTAGTGGCTGTACTAATTTATATTCCCACCAACAGTGTGGGAATCCTCATCGGTATCATCAGTATATGCATTTTGTTTGTTTGTTTGTTTCTTTGGTAATAGTCATTGTGACTGGGGTGAGATGGAATCTCAATGTAGTTTTGCTTTGCTTTTCCCTGAAGGCTAAAGAATTCGGACATTTTCTCATAGACTTATGGTCACTTCTTCTTTTGAGAAGTTTCTGTCCCGATCATTTGCCTGCTTTCCTGTTGGAGCACCTGCTCTTTGTTGGAGACTTTCTTGAGTTCTTTCTATCTCCCTGGGTATTAGTCCTCTGGCACATGAAGAGCTGGCGAGGACTTTTTCCCATTCTGCAGGCTGTCTCTTCACTCTGGATTGTTTCTTTGCTGTGCAGCTTTTTAATTTGATGTAGTCCCCTGTGTCAATTCTTGCCTGTATTCCCTAAGCTAGGGAGGGATTCGTCCCTTCTTTCAATCACCTTGAAGTGTTTCCCTGTGTTTTCTTCTAGAAGTTTCAAAGATCTGGGCTTACATTGAGGTCTTTAATCTGTTTTGACTTGATTCTTGTGAACAGCAAGACACAGTGTGTAGTTTCAGTCTTCTATAGGGAGATATCTAATTATATAGCACCAATTGTTGACGAGGTTGTCTTTTCTCCAATGTATGTTTTGGGCACCTTTGTTAGGAATCAGTTAGCTGTGAGTGATATATGGGTTCTCTACTCTATTCCATTGGTCTACATGTCTGCTTTTATACCAGGGCCATGCTGTTTTTGTTACTATGATTCTGTAGTCTATTTTCAAATCAGGGGTTGTGATGCTTTCAGCATTACTTTGGTTATTCAAGTTCTTTTGAGCTTTCCACATGAATTTCAGAAATTTGTTTTCTAGTTTTGTAAAGAATGTCATTGGTGTTTTGGTGAGGATTGCACTGAATCTGCAGATTGTTTTTGGTGATTTTAACAATATTCATTCACCTAATCCATCATTATTAGTGAATAGAAAATCCACAAATTTTGCATGTTGATTTTTGCATCCTGCTACTTTGCTGAATTTGTTTATTACTTCTAAGAGGGTTTTTTTTTTTTTTTTTTTTTGTGTGTGTGTGTGTGTGAGCTTTTTAGGGACCAATAGTACAGAATAGCAGACACAGAGACAAACCTACCATCTATAGTCATCTGACCTTTGACAAAAGTGTCAAAAACATACATTGGAGAAAAGATAGCCTTTTAAACAAGTGGCGCAGGCAAAACTGGTTATCCCTCTGTGGAAGAATGAACTAGATTTTCAACTCTCACCTACACAAAAATCAACTCAAAGTGGATCAAAGACCTAGGAATTGGACCAGAAATTATGCAACTCCTAGAAGAAAACATAGGGTCAACACCCCAGCATACATGCCCAGGCAATGACGTCTTTAATAAGATCCCTA